TCATTCCAAATTGATTATGTCCAACTGAGTTGAGATTTTATAGATTGTCCAATCAATTTCGAGTATTTCACGTAGTCATAGGGGTCGTAGAGTAGGGGTTACTTCCAGAGGAGACACCAGGAGATACGTGCTTAAGAGTAGGGGTCACCTCCAGGGGAGACATCAGGAGAAACGTGCTTCGGAGTAGGGGTCACTTCCAGAGGAAACACCTGGAGAAACGTGCTTCGGAGTAGGGGTCTCTTCCAGAGGAAACCTCAGAAGAAACGTGTTTCGGAGTAGGGGTCCCTTCAAGAGGAGACACCAGGAGAAACGTGCTTCGGAGTAGGGGTCCCTTCCAGAGGAGACACCAGGAGAAACGTGCTTCGGAGTAGGGATCACTTCCAGAGAAGACATCAGGAGAAACGTACTTAAGAGTAGGGGTCACTTCCAGGGGAGACACCAGGAGAACAGGCTTCGGAGTAGGGGTCACTTCCAGTGGAGACATCAGGAGAAACGTGCTTAAGAGTAGGGGTCACTTCCAGGGGAGACACCAGGAGAACAGGCTTCGGAGTAGGGGTCACTTCCAGTGGAGACATCAGGAGAAACGTGCTTAAGAGTAGGGGTCACTTCCAGGGGAGACACCAGGAGAAACGTGCTTAAGAGTAGGGGTCACTTCCAGGGGAGACACCAGGAGAAACGTGCTTCGGAGTAGGGGTCACTTCCAGTGGAGACATCAGGAGAAACGTGCTTCGGAGTAGGGGTCACTTCCAGAGGAGACATCAGGAGAAACGTGCTTCGGAGTAGGGGTCACTTCCATAGGAGACACCAGGAGAAACGTGCTTCGGAGTAGTGGTCACTTCCAGAGGGTACACCGGGAGAAACGTGCTTCGGAGTAGTGGTCACTTCCAGAGGGTACACCGGGAGAAACGTGCTTCGGGGTAGGGGTCACCTCCAGGGGAGACACCAGGAGAGACGTGTTTCGAATAGGGGTCAATTCCAAAGGAGACACCAGGAGAAACGTGCTTCGGAGTAGGGGTCCCTTCTAGAGGAGACACCAGGAGAAACGTGCTTCGGAGTAGGGGTCACTTCCAGAGGAGACATCAGAAAAAAACGTACTTCGGGGTAGGGGTCACTTCCAGAGGAGACATCAGGAGAAACGTGCTTCGGAGTAGGAGTCCCTTCCAGAGGAGACATCAGGAGAAACGTGCTTCGGAGTAGGGGTCACTTCCAGAGGAGACATCAGGAGAAACGTGCTTCGAATAGGGGTCCCTTCCAGAAGAGACATCAGGAGAAACGTGCTTCGAATAGGGCAGGAGAGCTAGAAACTCCTAGAAGCATGCTGAACATCAAATTTTCCAGTGCTATTATCATACATATTAATATGTGTCTGATTTCATATACTGATGGTACTGTCCGGGGTGGGCAAGAGATCAAAAGCACATGGCTAGCAAGCGCCAGGCTTGTTTTTTTGTTTTTTTTATTAACACCGCACTCAGCAATATTCCAGTTATACGACGGCGGTCTGTAAATAATCTTGACCAGACAATCCAGTGATTGATATCATGAGCATCGATCGACGCAATTGGGATACGATGACATGCATCAACCAAGTCAGCGAGCCTGACCACCCGATCCCGTTAATCAGCAACGAACTCATCAAAGCAGCTTATCACAGTAGCTCATAGTCCTACAGCAACACCTTCTATGTGCATCAAGAGTAAGCTGTACGTCTAGCGCAATAAAACTTACACAAACTGTGTTGTCGTCATTTGAACAGATAGAGTAGAAAAAAAGTAGTTTTCTTTTCTAAATAGTCAGATTTTGTTGGTTGGTTTGTTGTTTTACGCCAGACAACCCAGTGATTGATATCATGAGCATCGATCGACGCAATTGGGATACGATGACATGCATCAACCAAGTCAGCGAGCCTGACCATCCGATCCCGTTAGTCACCTCTTACGACACACAAGGCAAGCATGGGTGTCTGAAGACCTATTCTAACCCGGATTTTTAACGCTAATGACAGTGTTGTTATTCAGCCTTGGGAACAACAATGTTTACGGGTCTTTAGAATGTTGTCACTACCCCTAGTGCATAGTACATACACCATGTGCACTCAAAAGAACCCACTCGTCCGAGATGGTATATGAGCAGATGTCAAGTGTCAAAACTTGTGGTGTCCTCCTGGGCAAGTGACTTAGATAAATTGTGCCTCTGTTCACCCAGCAGAGAATGGGTACCCGATATGTGAAATGGGTGTAAAAACCTTCCAGCAGCTTGGGCTATACACTCCCCAGGGAGTTGAGATTTATAAAATTGGAAATCAAACGGATCCACTGGTCGTCGAACAAATACAACCGCATTTGATACCAGGACCTGGATACCCGCGGTATACCCACGTTCGTTCATACAGATTGGCCCTAACACTATGAAGGTTCATACTCCAATGAACGCACACAAAGTGAAAGTCTATTCTTATCATCAGAGACGAAACAAAATTTCAATTCTTCAGAAATACAAAAAAAAATAGTGCCGGGGCGCAAAATGTGAAATAATGCTGACAAAATTTTCTCCCAGTGTGATGGTTTGGGGTGGAATTGGGAAATTGGTAATTGTGCCGCTTTTTTTAAACTCCAGGCCGAATTGATTCAAAAAGTACTTTGAAATTTTGCTTGTGTGAATGAATTACAAATAGGACAAAGTGGGGTTGCAACAATGTTGCAACATGACAATGCTTGTACCTGTCCAAATTACCTAATATTGGCTTGAAGAGAAAAGTATCAGAATCATGGATTTTCCTGGTGCCACCTCAGTCACCTGCCGCCTATAGAAAGTGTACTACCCGCGACTCATACCGCCGTGTAGCTTCTCAGGGATCATCCTAAGCATTTCACATCTCATGTCCACACACACTGACAATATGTCTTTTGGGAGAATATTCAAAGAGTTATATTTAAACGTCGTACCAATAATATGTCCAAAGTTTCTTCTTTAAGGAATCGGGGCGGTCGGGTAGCCTAGTGGTTAAAGCGTTAGCTCGTCACGCCGAAGACCTGGGTTCGATTCCCGACATGGGTACAATGTGTGAAGCCCATTTCTGATATTGCTGGAATATTGCTAAAAGCGGCGTAAAACCATACTCACTCACTCACTCACTCTTTAAGGAATCACCACCTCATTTCTCATACAGAAAGTGTCAATGAGTCCAACACTACTTTTACAGCAGTTGTGTCAATGGTATCACTGCGTGTCAGTTTTGAGTTTGAGAAAGGCCACGTGTGATCGTAGGTATTTGTCATCAGCGCACGTTGTCTAACAGGAATACGCACCCAGCATACACGAGGAAGATGCATCTTCTTCCTGTCACACTTAACAAACTGACCGTTCACGTTCAAAGTACTTTTTTGTGTAGATTCACTGAACATGGTTTCATAAGTCTTTCCTGGCGTGTTGATTTCATTTTGTTCTGGGTTTTTTTCACTGAAAACATGATACTCTCGAGTTAATTGAAAACGATGACACATGTAAGGAAATAGGACAATGTCAGTACTTTGCAAATTATAAGGGAAACACAAAGGGAAAGTGAAACCTTCCGCAAGGAAATAGATTAACTTTCAGGCAATGTGTCAACTCGGTGAACTGTTTAAAAATGCAGGGATAGGCTCATTCCTACATCCATACGGAAGTTGTGGCGACATATTATTTGTTTCACTTTGGCATCTTTTATTACTTGCTACTTGGAGTCAAACAAGGACTGGTCGGCTTGGAGTCAGTAGACTGTGTCTGTGTGGGGTATTCATGTTAATCTACAGCATGGTATCTCAGTGAGCTAACATTATAAATCGGCAGTAGTCCGTACTAGCACAAGCAGCCAAACACACACACACTTGGTACTTGTTGTTACCCTGTCTTGCGCTTGGCATTAAGGGGCTAAACCAAGGACTGGTCGGCGCGGAGTCAGTATACTGTGTCTGAGGGGGGTATTTATGTTTAACTGCGGCATGATATCTCAGTGAGCTAGCACTATAAATCGGCATCAGTCGGGACTAGTACAAGCAGCCACACGAACACACACACGTATATGCACGTTGCTATATAAGTGCAATAATCTTGGACGGGACGTTAAAACCAATTCCACCTCACCTCACCTTATGAGTTACCAACGCTTGGGAAACCAAAATACCTACTTTCGTAGAACAAAATCCAAACAGATTCTTAGACATCAACAAGTATGAACTAAATTGCATCAAGCCTACTTTATTATGAAGCAGCACAGTATTAGACTCAGACATCAAGCGCAAAATGTTGCATTCACAACGTGCTCATATAACATACCATTTAGTGATAAACGGTTCCTTCAGAATATCGAAACTGACAACAATGCATCAACAAATCACGTCATTTTTCAATTCATGATGCATCTGTTCCACGAAATGTCAAGTGTCGGTCAGATGTAACTGTGTGCAACAGTTGGTGTTTCAATACAGTGTGAGTGAATGAGTTGGGTTTAACGCCGCTTTTAACAGTATTCCATTTATATCGTGGCGTGTCAGCTTTACGTGGGAGGAAAGCCCGAAGGGATGCAGGTCTCAGACGTTTACCCCTTTCGTGAAACCCACGAGCACGGGTATGGTTCGGACAAACCTAGAAACATAAATCGGGGCGAACCGGGATTCGAACCCACAATCACAGGTTTCTGGCGTGCAACTCTACACAGCGAATCGCGGGGCCTAAGACGACTGTGCCACCCGTGACCCCTCCCCCGTTTTATAACATATTCAAATCTCATGGTATATTCTCATCGGCTCGTACTGGTCTGAGGCTTCTGTGCGACGTCCTTCCAGTTCTTGGTAGTCGCCTCTTGTTGCGACTTCAGCATGAGCTTCATCAATACCACTGCCGTTGTCCCTTGTCAGACGTGGGGTTAAGTAGTCTTCACCTGGCAAAATGTGTATACTGTAATAAGATTTAACATACTATGCTTTTTTCCAGTGACCTAACTGGTCCACAGACAAACATAAGCATATGTGGCATTGTGACTACTTTGCATATGTGTACATTTTGGGGGGAGATTTGTTTTAATTTTCTCACGACGTGGATCATAACAAACGCATGCAAGAAAACAAATTTCGCTTACCTTGTTCTGACTGCATTGTTATGTCTCGTTGAACCCCTGAGGCCTGGAAAGGAAAATGTAATACTATACATATATATTTAATGTGTGCGGCAGCATTGAATAATAAATGCATCACTCTGATACTATAATCGCAATAATGGACTTTGCCTCTTTAAGTAACAGCTACTAAGTTAAAAAATGTTACTAAAGTGAAAATCATCTGCACCTGTAAAACAGAAGTGGATCTTCTGCAAATTACAACAATGCCCAGGCAAACACCACAAATTAAGATGGTCGCTCCCGATCCAATTCCTATTCCAGTTCACAGAACATTCGCACGCGCACTCCCTGTAGAAGATAAGATGGGGTACATGTTTGTAATGCAAATTTTGACACAACTCGAAATTGAAATGTTATAAATTCTGTTCCAAAATCAATAATTATAAAAACCTAACTTTTTAACTTTGACATTTGCATCATCCACCATTTGATTGCACGGGAGATGACATCAATCTCTGACTGACGATTAGACGTTGTACATTTACTCAATGTATGAGCACAAACAAAGTTCTGGAATATATGCCACATGATGACAAATGAAGGAAACCCTGAAATGAAGAGTTGGTTATCCATATGATTTACGATGTAATTATAACCCAACACATTCCTGTTCAACGCATTTACTACAACACTCCGCGTTCATTACAAGGAAATTAAATCTGCAAGTTTGATGTGTGTGTTGTTGATGACATCATCAAGTAAACGCAACTTTACTGTTGAATCGAGTATGTTTTAAACATATTTTACATGTTTTTTATGTATGAACTGTGTGAAGTTGGATTGGTAAACAAGCAAAGACTTTATATCAATACTGCTCCAGTTGATATACAATGTCATCAACTATAATCCACAATCAATGTTAAGTAACAAGTTAATTATTATCATAAAAACACAGTTGTCCAATCTGAACATGCGGAAGAAAACGCTGAAAGTTCAAATCAGTTCCATGAGAGATTGAACGATAGTTTGCACTTAGACAAAGTTTGGAAATCTGCTGGAGGCTGATAATGAACAGAACAGAATTGAGTAGTTCTAAACTAATCATTGCTGTAACATTTGCATTTCCATAAAGAGAAGAGTTAGGTCCTAAGCTCTACAGAACAAATACATGTTCCTTCCTATGCCAGTGTAGTTGGTACATGTAAGGAAATAGTTAAGTGCATTTTCATGGCGGATATCACAAGAACAATTTGGATCAGCTGATATAAATAGTTTAAATCTCTCAGCACAGAGGTCACGACAACCAAGTGTCAGGCGACAGTGCACAATGTCGATTGAGCCTAGAATCATAATGTAAATCAAACGTGTTGCAATGCTTTTCATCACCATTTATCCTTCCTTTAAGCTCATTCAATGTACTGGCCTCAGTATATGCAGTAGGCAAGGAATTCCAGAGTTAGACTCGATTAGAAACGATGTTGCATACCTTGCTATTCTGCGCCGTATATGAAGAACGTCATAACATAACGTGTTTCACACTACAATCAGTTTGATTGCATGTTTTCAAAGTTGATATATTTTAAGTTCAATAGTTATTCCATATATACACCAATCTAGTTTTCATCTTTGTGCCTCTATCTTAACCGTTACTACTATATACTGAAGAAGATTATTGAACAAGAACAAGATATTGAGAAGAACAGATTGGAAGGCACATAAATCCCCTCACTGTCATCCTCCTGCATTGGCGGCACTTTACTTTGATCACAACTGGGAGTGATTGTCGGCGTCCTCTCTGTAAAGTACAGCATAATCTACATTTAAAAAGCGACCAATCTCGAGGGCTATGTTTGACCCTTTTGCTGTTGATATAAACGCGGTGATGTTTTGCTATCACACAACATACATTACACTGCACACTGTTAAAATACAGTTATTAATATATCTTGCATTTAATTATTACATATATGCAACCAAGTTGCTTTCACAGAGACCAGTTAGAGATAATACAACCCCCCTCATAGTTTTCTGATACGCCCAAGGGACGCTCTCATGCTCAGAAAATTGACAACTGGGCCAATTTGCCGCCCAAATCCGTATAACCCAAGCACAGTCGCCAATGGTACCAGCAACTGCCTCTTTCCCCTTGTACTCACCGTTGGTTACATTACAAGGTAAAGTCGAGCTATGGCCACCGCAGGTGAAGACCAGTTCCGCCTCGAAGTTGGAGTTGGTCTTGTAGATTGGGATGTTAACTGTTTTATCTGTTATATCAGTGACTGTTTCATTACGGTATTCATGATCAGTTCTTCCCGTGGATATCTTCAGCTGAACCAGCTCAGAACAGTAATACCCCTTGATGTGTACTGTCAGGGACAGCTCCTCGCCAACGTCGAGCGACGTGATGTCAGCATCGCTTGTTGTGAAGCAGGTCGGGAGTTCTGAAAAATTAAATCGCATTACAAATATTATCCTAAAGTTAGAAATAGTCCACTATTTCTAATACTGATGTTTAAGTACTCATTCATAAACTGGCATTACAATAGTATGTGGAGGCAATATGTCATATAATGATACATCGCCTTACCACAATCATGAAAATCCTTGAAGCTTGTGTTTTACATTCTGGTTTTATATTGATAATATCATATGTTCGCGAAAAAAATGAGCGTATACTGGCCCACCAGTGGCATCTGTCACAAATACATGCAAAAGCATGTCAATTGGCCACTAGAAAAAAATAATTGTACAAATGCACATAAGTACATGATGCACATACTGTTATTAAGATTTTGGATATATAAATGTGAATAATATTTATTCTCATATTTCAACATTATTCTTTGATATTCCTACAGCTCACGGGATGATGGTCGGCATGGTTGAATAGTATATACCCAACTTGAGTGATTATATATGCTTTATAGTTACGAGAGTCGACTTCACATTCATATATCTTATTGTGGTGTACTTACTCACAACAGGAAAGTTGCAGGATAGTGATGACCAAGATGGAAAATTATATTTTGTATAACTTTATTTTCTTCAAGGCATATTGAATCTAAAACACTTTATATGTTAATGTATAATTACATAGTTTAATTGTCTTTCTTCTATTTCAAATATGTGACACTTTATTCATGGCCATTATGTTTCATGTGATGTGTGACAGCGATCAGGTTGCAGGATGTTGTGCAATATTTCATCTCTCCGGGCTGTGCTTGGTGTACTGCAGGTATGGCGATGCTACTGTGCTAGAATAATACATTAATACGTCTTGATGATACGTCTCCAACACTAACCAGCAACAAGATAGGGGATGAGGTCCCAATGGTTCAATAGGACACAAGCAGCTTGAGTGATGATATACATGTATGATGGTTTGTTTCGAGTGTTGACTTTACGTTCATGTGTCTTATCTTGGGGTACTTACTCACAACAGTAAAGTTGCAGGAGAGTGGAGACCAAGGTAGGATAGTACACTTCCACTTCCCAGCATGTGTTTGTTGTACTGCAGGTATGGTGAGGCTACTGTGTGTCTGTTGGATGTTAGACACCATGTAGTTGCCAATTTGTGTAAATGCATATGATGAGCTTGATACATTGCAGATGGCAGCAACTCCACCTTGCGGGGTTATATAGCCATGTGAAGTTATATTTCTTGGCGGGGTGCACGTCAGATGAGCAGGAGAACCAAGATAACCGACTTCCGGACAGATCAGTTCAGGCCTACTTGTACCTGTTAAGAGTAAACGTGGCCTTGTTACAGATGTGTCGGTTGACATCAGCGATTATTATTAACAGTGGTGATTCATATGCAATATCATGTGGGTGGAAACATCCACTTTAACATCACTTCCAACCTACCATGTTGTAAATGAATCAGTAGAAGTAGGATCAGAGTCCATTCGACAGACAGAAAGAATTGTTCCATCACCTGTCAAACACAAAGCACATTGTGTTGATCACATACTGCAGTTGTTACATACTTTTAATGTAAAAAATTACATCACCGTTGCTATAAAGATATATATAACATCTGGTACAGTTACAGGGCACACAATATCACTGGTATTGGTCCGTTTCCAATTGTGTATCCTTCGGGGCATCATTAAACTGAGATAGTGGGCTATTCTTTCATCGTGTGACCGCTTCTGTATCTCACATAACTGTAAGAGGATTCGTCAGGTGTTTCCCAACAGCTATACAGTGAGTGAGTGAGTGAGTGAGTGGGTGGTTGGGTGGTTGGGTGAGTGAGTGAGTGAGTGAGTGAGTGAGTGGGTGAGTGAGTGGGTGGGTGGGTGGGTGAGTGAGTGAGTGAGTGAGTGAGTGAGTGAGTGAGTGAGTGAGTGAGTGAGTCTTGGTGAGTGAGTGAGTGAGTGAGTGAGTGAGTGTATACATATTGTATGACAAGGGAAATAACTTATAATAATTCTCATAATTCGAGAGGTGGTTGGATTGTTGAATGACTGTCTTTAGCGTAGATATATGGATACATATTAGAGTGACAAAAGTCTTACCGCAAGACTTTGGAAAGTGGCACGACATCAACTTCACTAATGTCAACGTTCCCTTTGTGTCGAGCGAATCTCCAACATCTCCAACCCTTGGTCTCCGAACTTAACAACGTTTGGGGTACAATGGAGCATAATCGGTGACATTTGCGTCATCAAATTTGCTAAAATAAAGCTGCTCACGGTATTTCATTGACTTGGTCGTTTAATTCCATGTATTATGTATACGATTTCGTGACAACAGTTTGCTGACACGAAATATTAACGCAGATATCACTGTTGAAAATTGTGTGTGTGTCATCGTTTACATTTCGACGTGACGACCACTTTCGAGTCTCGAAACAGCTTAAATAATGTTTTCCTTCACTAAAAGTAACAATTTACGTTGTTTTCGTGACGTATACATTGCAAGAGCATTGATGAAAATGCTAATATCTATAGAAAATACATGTCGTGTCCGCCATGTTTGTTTGTCTAGCGGAGGCGGCCATTGTGCAGTCATTGCCTGGGTCAGTGTAGCGCCAGCGCAGCATACCACGGGAACGAGGCTGGGGACAGGCCGACTGTCTGAGTGTGGCTGTGACGTCTCATAGACTAGGGTTAGACTAGCTTCCCTTTGACAAAGGGCAGTTATTCTAGCGGTCAGACCGATGAATTGCCGCGATAGGCAAGTACACACAATTCGTGACGGCAATTGTTGTTTTGTATATATGTAGTTTCGCCAATGTATAAGAAACAGGTTTCAGTTGGAACAATATTGGCTACTGTCACTGTCCGACTGACACATCACTTACCCTCTACACCCGTGAAGATCCGGACTCGATTATTTACAGACCGCCGTCATATAGCTGGAAAGTTGCTGAGTGCGGCGTTAAACAACACACAAACAAGCAAATAAACCAACTTACCCTCTAACGTAATATGTATTAATGCGCACATTCCAGGAAAACTTAGAATGTTTCGGTAATGTTTGTGGGAGATGTGAAACGATTTCCGTGCACGGAATTGAAGAATGACATATGATAATTATAAAGCGGTTATCATGCGTGTGTCTTTCGGGATGGTAAATATCCTGGATTAGAAATAAACACTATGTACAATAGTTGTTCCTAATACAGGGTGGCGGTCGGGTAGCCTTGTGGTTAAAGCGTTCGCACGTCACGACGAAGACACGGGTTCGATTACCGACATGGGTACAATGTGTGAAGCCCATTTCTGATATTGCTGGAATATTGCTAAAAGCGGCGTAAAACAATACTCACTCACTCACTCCTAATACAGGATATTTACCATCCCCAAACACAATCGCGTGATAACATCTCTCTATATATATAACCAAAATAATAACCGTGGAGACCTACCTGAGTCCCGACCCGTCATTTACCCTCCTCCTTCTCTCTCTTCACAAGCAACAAATTAAATGTCTCTCGTCAACACCAGGAAGACACGATCACTTACGAAACTTCCATTATGAATCATCAACCTCACTCATCAGCATATTTACTATTTTAGGAAATAGTTTTAAGTGAGTAATAGTTTATTCCCAAATCTCTACCTAATCTAACGTCAAAACGTAATTGTCAAATATCAGTTGATTTAAACTGCAATTAAATTGCCATTACCACGTAAAATTCATTTAAAGATTCAATGAACAGAGAAAGATTATTTTTTACTTTCTGTACTATTTGAAGAATTATTAACTTACTTTGTCAGGTCGAATCAACTGTTAATGAGTGCATGTGGATGTTTGCTTCATAGCGGAACATGAACACGCATGAGTTGTTTACCTTGATTGGTTCAGCAGTTTAAGTTTCAGTATTTACCTGCAGTTTGAAACGCTCATGTTCAATTTTTACTGATGATACACAATTACAATAATGTGAGTGTTATTCTCACTTGTATCAGTCGAAGTGATGATGTTGTAATGTTAAACAGACTGAACTATTTTATAAATGAAAACTCATGCTTGCCGTTCGACTGCTTGAATACAAATCATCCCGTCTAGAAGACAAACAAATTGTCCCTCCAACAAAAATCAGGTCCGTATTTATGATATGGATATACAGATATCAATGCGATTCGCCATAATGCGGCCTCTCAACAACGACTAGTAAACAGTTGTACTTCCTATATAGCGCACCGAACTGTGATTCATTTTTCACATTTTTCAAACAAATGTTGTATTTCTTGTATTATCAAACAAAAGAAGGTTGTTTGTTTTCACTTTCGTCTGACCGACCGCAAGCGCACCCCCTCACATCCTCTGAAGTTGGACATGGTGATGAAAATCAAGGCTGTGCTCAAAGCGACAGGGGAATGACACGTGCACCCGACCAACACAGAGTAGACGCAGTCCCTGTAACAGGTCACGGTGGATTAGTTATACGTGTATTGTGTGTTCAATTTACAGTATGATCATGGTAGATTCGAGATACACGTACTGAGTGAGGGAGTGAGTTGGGTTTAACGCCACTTTCAAATGTATTCCAGTTATATCACGGCGTGTCAGCTTAATGTGGGGGGGGGGGGGGGAGCGCGAAGTGATGCAGGTCTCAGAAGTTTATAACGTTGCTGAAACCCCCGAGCACATGAATGGTGCTGACAAACCTAAAAACATTCGATTGTGGGATTCAAACCAACACCCATAGCTATCTGACGTTTCCAAGGGACGCAACTCTTTCACAGCGATATGCGGATTTTTGGGCCACCCGTTACACGTATTGCGTGTTCAATGTAGAATACATCCCGAACGTGATCAAGGTAGATAGGAGACACACGTATGGTGTGTTAAATGTGGAGCATAGGCTCAGTAACTTATCATGGTAGATTAGAGGTGAGGTGAGGTGAAATGGGGTTTAACGTCGCGTCCAAGATCATTGCACTTATATAGCGACGTGCATGCACGTGTATGTGTGTTTGTGTGGCTGCTTGTACTAGTCTGGACTGATGCCGATTTATAGTGCTAGCTCACTGAGATACCATGCCGCAGTTTAACATGAATACCCCACTCAGACACAGTATACTGACTCCGCGCCGACCAGTCCTTGTTTTAGCCCCTTATTGCCGAGCGCCAGACAGGGTAACAACACGTACCATCTTTTAACGTCTTTTGGTATGACGCGGCCGGGGATCGAACCCCGAACCTTCCGCTCTCCGGGCGGACGCTCTACCACTAGACCACGGAGGCGGTCTGGTAGATTAGAAACACACACATATTGTGTGTTTCGTGTGAAGATGAGGCCCAGTAATATTTTCCACAAGATAATTTGTTTCCAAAGTGTAAAAGTAGGAATGTGTTTTAAGAAGGAGAATGTCCTGGTTGAACCATTCCTTAAACAGGCCTCGGTTCCATTATATTTAAGGAATGGAAAGCAGCTCTATTACACATCAAAGCCAACTGCCCCTCTACAGAATTTGTCCATGCAGCCATGTCAGTCAAACATGTTTGGAATGTATATTTCTGGGCTCACAACATCAGAATATTAAGGCTTAGGCTTAATAAGAAAATCTGTCTGACAAGTTTAATCAAAACACTCCCTTTATTACCTTTCAGAAGGTCCAGGGTTCGATCCCCGGCCGCGTCAGAACAAAAGACGTTAAAATATGGTACTTGTTGTTACCTTGTCTGGCGCTCGTCATTAAGGGGCTAAAACAAGAACTGGTCGGCTCGGGGTCAGTATACTGTGTCTGAGTGGGGTATTCATGTTAAACTGCGGCATGGTATCTCAGCAGGCTAGCACTATAAATCGGCATCAGTCCGGACTAGTACAAGCAGCCACACACACACACACGTGTATGCACGTCGCTATATAAGTGCAATAATCTTGGACGCGACGTTAAACCCATTTTCACCTCACCTTTCAGAAATATTTTTAGACACGTGTCTGTCTGCTGTTATTTGCTTACTTATAGTTGGAGATTTTACGTGCGCTTTCCGAATTTGTACGTATTTCGCACACGGTTATATGTCACAAATCAGGGTAATACATCCCGCTGCATAATTGATTGAATGACATGACAAGCAACGTATCAAAAATTCCCTTAAAGACACATCAATCTTAAGTGTGCAGTTTAACCACAGGACGTCTGAGTAGGTCTCCCTGTTTTACACGATCTAGGCTGTAAATGTTGACTATCAATATCCTCTGTGTAACACTCACCAGGCTGTAAATGTTGACTATCAATATCCTCTGTGTAACACTCACCAGGCTGTAAATGTTGACTATCAATATCCTCTGTGTAACACTCAACAGGCTGTAAATGTTGACTGTCAACTTCCTCTGTATAACACTAACAGGTGTAACGTTGTAGATGTTGACTATCAAGATACTCTGTATAACACTAACATTATATTGACTATCAACATGCTCTGTATGATACTAACCAGACTAAAGATGTTGACTGTACAACAATTTGCTGTACAATGCAACCCAACGCACTCGGTATGTAATGCGGTAAGCATCTGAGAGATGCACCTGATTGGTCCTTTCCCCTGTCCACTTCCTAAGGTAACTGATGTATAGTACAACAAGTGCACTAATTTAACTTGTGCTCCTACATGATGGGTCATCAGAAATACGGCAACGGTACTCCTAGTCGCTCACTATCATTAACCCCAAGGGTATCCCAGGTCGGTCCTTGTTTCCCGTGTTTGTGGCGTTCATTTTTTTGTCGCTACTTCCCCAGCAGCACAATTCTTCACAGCACAGTTCAGCACAACCAGAACACAATACACCTCGTAGAAGTAGAGACCACACATAATTAATACATATATGTAGGCATATGTAGGGACAATTCGAACAGTACAGTACCCCACAATAAATAAAAGATGCAAAATCCCTTTCATTCATTTCACTGGCTAGAGGATGTCCGCTTGTCTCTAACTATTTTTGGCCCGTGAAGATCCGGGTAGAATAGGTAACCCATGCTTGCCGTAAAAGGCGACTATGCTTGTCGTAAGAGGCGACTAACGAGATCGGGTGGTCAGGCTCGTCGATCCCAATTGCGTGGATCGATGCTCATGATATCGATCACTGGATAGTCTGGTCAAGACCCGATTATTTACAGACCGCCGTTATATAGCTGGAATATTGCTGAGTGCGGCGTAAAACAACAAACCAACCAACAAAATCTGACTATTTGGAAAAGAAAACCACTTTTTTTCTACTCTATCTGTTGAAATGATGACAACACAGTTTGTGTAAGTTTTATTGCGCTAGACGTACAGCTTACTCTTGATGCACATAGAAGGTGTTGCTGTAGGACTATGAGCTATTGTGATAAGCTGCGTTGATGAGTTCGTTGCTGATTATTTTTTTTAGTTGCTGATTCGAAGGTTGTAGTAGACGGTCATAAGCTACAAGCTCACCGATGATGGACAATGTGTCCAGCAACACGAACGTTGTAGTAGACGGTCATATGCTACAAGCTCACCTATGATGGACAATGTGTCCAGCAACACGAACGTTGTAGTAGAGGGTCATATGCTACAAGCTCACCGATGATAGACAATGTGTCCAGCATCACGAACGTTGTAGTAGACGGTCATATGCTACAAGCTCACCGATGATAGACAATGTGTCCAGCAACACGAACGTTGTAGTAGACGGTCATATGCTACAAGCTCACCTATGATGGACAATGTGTCCAGCATCACGAACGTTGTAGTAGACGGTCATATGCTACAAGCTCACCGATGATGGACAATGTGTCAAGCAACACGAACGTTGTAGTAGACGGTCATATGCTACAAGCTCATCGATGATAGACAATGTGTCCAGCATCACGAACGTTGTAGTAGACGGTCATATGCTACAAGCTCACCGATGATGGACAATGTGTCCAGCAACACGAACGTTGTAGTAGAGGGTCATATGCTACAAGCTCACCGATGATAGACAATGTGTCCAGCATCACGAACGTTGTAGTAGACGGTCATATGCTACAAGCTCACCGATGATGGACAATGTGTCCAGCAACACGAACGTTGTAGTAGACGGTCATATGCTACAAGCTCACCGATGATGGACAATGTGTCCAGCAACACGAACGTTGTAGTAGACGGTCATATGCTACAAGCTCACCGATGATGGACAATGTGTCCAGCAACACGAACGTTGTAGTGGACGGTCATATGCTACAAGCTCTCCGATGATGGACAATGTGTCCAGCAACACGAACGTTGTAGTAGAGGGTCATATGCTACAAGCTCACGGATAATGGACAATGTGTCCAGCAACATGAACGTTGTAGTAGACGGTCATAAGCTACAAGCCAACCGATGATGGACAATGTGTCCAGCAACACGAACGTTGTAGTAGACGGTCATATGATACAAGCTCACCGATGATGGGCAATCAATGTAGACACACGTTTCTCTCACCAGTAATGAAGGGGTTCTAAATGTTCTGTTTTGTCTGTATGGAGTGGGAGCTCTTCAGAATCTGCATCAGATTCAGATACGTATCGAAGGAGAACAGGATTCCCCTGAGATAAAATACTTGGGGTATGGAAAGCAGATCCCTGTGGTCTATATTACAGTTACAATCAATGTCGGAATTAGTTGTCCGCAACAATATTTACAAGCTTTTCATCAGTCACTGATGATCTTTGCACAGTGACAGTGAAACTGTCAATCATTTGTACTCATTAACGTTCAATATGTGAATACTCTTGTGTTATACATATTTACTCTCTTTTCAACAAAAGCAGTCTTTGTATGTTTGTTGTTTAACGCCGCACTCAGCAATATTCCAACTATGTTACGGCGGTCTGTAAATAATTGAGTATAGACCAGACAATCTAGAAGCATCAATCCATGCAATTGGGATCAATCAACCATCTGACCACCCGATCCCGTAATCGGATCTTGCGACAATAATAGTCGCCTTGTACAGCAATCATGTGTTGCTGAAGACCTAGTCTAACCCGGATCTTCACGATTGATGCTCTACGATAGATGCAGATCTTAAACGGCGAAACCCATAAGCACGGATATGGAGCTGACAAACCTACGACTATTATGAGGTTGAATCTGGGATTCGAACCCACGATAATAGGATTCAGGCGACCATTTTAACAAGAAAATTAAAGTGCTAATTTCAATTTTTTTCGATTTGGCGATGTTGGGATGTTTTGTCAGTCTGTTGAACAGGTCGGTGGTCCCTCTCTTGTCCTGCCCTATGATGTAGAAGTAGGGCAGGCAACGCAGCACCCGCGTCTCCCCCGACCCCTTCCTGCTGGCTATCTCCGCCAGGGATCCCCTACTTGGTTCCATGCCCCAAGGCCAGTGGTTCTGTCTAACGTTGTGCACCCACCAACAGGGGCTGGTAAACTCTGGGGTCCATATATTCACGTGCACCAGTATATTGATCGAACGGCCTTGTTGACGTCAATCGAATCCTATTATGACGTAATTTAATCTGATTGACGTAACATTAGAAACGACGTCATAGATAAAGGTCATTCGACAATTGTGGTTTTCAATGATCTAAAGGGGATTAAAGGGCAAGTAAGGTAAACATAGCATCTTTGCAGGTTTCAATCATTTAGGGCATACTTAATCATAGATCTATATGCTTCACCAAAATGAAATTTGAAAAACGGAAATAGAGTAGAACAGACGATAAGAAACGACAGACGAAATCGTCCCCAAAACTAGGATTCTCCTTACCGACGTTACAACGGGTTCCCAGTGTTTGACGCGCTGCACAATTTCAATGATCGTGACGACAGGACCGACGCCCAGTCTGCTTGCGCCCGTCTCAGGCGGTGTAATACATTTAATGCACATTTTTCCGTCAGCTCATCCATTTGATTACCGTTTCAACAGCTTACGTCATCTTAGTAACAACGCGAAAGATGTCTTCAGTTGTTTACTCAGAGGAGTAATTCCCATTCCGTACTCAAGCACTGGATTGTCTGGTCCAGACTTGATTATTTACAGACCGCCGTCAATAGCTGGAATATTGCTGAGCGCGGTGCTAAACAACAAACAAACAAAAAATAATCTACAAAGTTTCCAGTTTCTTGATTTTCACGGATAAGAAAGGAAACTGTTGTGACAAGCGTGTGCCAGGTACTTCACCGCTGCCAGGAAAGCATCACCCCTTGCATGGTATCCCCAGGGACGGGTGGAGTTGTGGGGGCGGTTCTGCAGGTGAAGTTAGTAGTATGCGACTGTAAAGTTTGGTTTACGCTTCAGCCTGACAAACACATTACGAGACATTTCAAAAGAGCACCGGTAGGACTTAAAACCTTTTCGTTTTATCCGTGATTCTTTAGATTCGATGTGTGGAGAAATGGAGACACATTGTCGGATACTGTTTTGCAATACATTGTGTTAGGGTGTGACGCTTTTGTGAAATTTGACAAGAAGCTGTGTTGGGGAAGAGTACAGCACTGAGACAAGTGTGACATGTTTTAATCCAATCAAAGAATCCGACCAGAGTATTTATCCCTTTTTATACACAAATCCTGTTTCAGTTCGCCACTTAAAAAGATGGGAGTTGGTGTGTATTGTATTGCTTTCGCTGAATTTACACTTTACCGTATTGACATATAGGGAAATAATTTACAGTGTCACACCTACACCTACACCTACACACACACCCACACACACACACACACACACACACACACACACAAAAACACAAACACACACACACATACACATACACACACACACACACATACACACACACATACATACACACACACACACACCACACACACACACATACACACACACACACATACACATACACACCCACACACCACCCACATACACACACACATACACACACACACACACACACACATACATACACGCACGCACACACGCACACACACACTCACACACACACACACACACACACACACACACACACACACACACACACACACACATACACACACACACACTCACACTCACACTTAATTATATTCCCTGTCCACAGACACAGTGAGCTTTTCCTTCCGCAAATTGATTAAAAGGGTATCCCATAATGTCCTTCGTGCATCGACATTCCACTGAAACAAATGTTAGTGACGTACATGGAAATTTCTGAATAGTCTTCAAGTCTTACTGCGTGTACAGTAAATATGATTCTGGACATTTGATGTGTGCTCAAAGCACCACAATGTACTGTGTACAGTATACAAATTACGACAAAACAAGTGTAAAGTTGAATAAACATGAATAAAAAACCTTTATTCAATCCTTTCCTTTCATGAGACTTAATATTTGCCCAGTTAGCGAAGACTAAGCTTTTGGTTTGTCTGTTCGAGAATGGAACTCTGACCCTTATCGAATCGCAAGAAATGAGTCTCCTTCTAGACATCCGTTTAACAAAAACAAAGGCCAGCGTCATGTCAGCAGCTCCGTTGACACACAGACACAGACAGGGTGTTGAAAACAGGTTTCTGCAAGCACAAAACGCTGAATCAGTCGTACAAACCAGTTACATGCCTTTACGTCTCGACTCGGGATTTAACATTGCAATTATATGAAACTGGTTTGTAAAACCAGTTTAAATTTGAAAACTGGTTTGTAAAACCAGTTTAAGTTTGAGCCACAAAAGCAACACAACCGATTGGTTGGCAGGATTAGGGGGAATCCCCAACTGGGTTTTCCACCTGTACGATTGTTGTATCTTCAAAGTCAACATTTCCTTGGTTAGTTTGTCCAGTGAGGCTCCAGGCACTGAGGTACGTGTATCTTATGTAACTAACACAGTTTCTACGTCATGTACAGTACAACACAAACCTCGCTAGCCCGGGCTCATGTGAACCTGAGGAGCACAGTTGTATTTGCGTCATGATAAGATAATTCTATATGGTCCGATAGCAAACAACAATGGCCACACGAGGGCTGAATTATCGATACACCTCAAACCGTCGGACCGTTCAATCACGTAATACAACGACAAACAGTACTCCACCTTTACCGTATAAATCGACTGAACCTACCCCAGCAATCTCTAGTACCTATGGCGTGTTTAACTTGACTAAATGTGGATTAAATCCATTAAACTGGCTTAACCTGACTTGGATCCATTAAAGTGGTAATCAAAGGTACTTAACATCTTCTTGTTTGAGTGAGTGAGTGAGTGCGTTTTGTTTTACGCCGCTTTTAGCAATATTCCAGCAATATCACGGCGGGGGACACCAGAAATGGGCTTCACACATTGTACCCATGTCGGTAATCAAACCCGGGTCTTCGGCGTGACGAGCGAACGCTTTAACCACTAGGTTACCCGACCGCCCCTCTTCTTGTTTGAAGCAGGATGGCATCATCTTGAAGGATCTCACGTAAAAACAGTAAACTACGTTTATAACGAACACGCCTATAACGAACTGGCGGATATAACGAACTGTTTTTTTTTGTCCCGGCCGTTTGCTGTATATATGCTGTATACATGTATATGCTTATAACGAACTACGGTTATAACGAACTGAAAATTGTGGTCCTTTGAGTTCGTTTTAACCGTAGTTTACTGTACGTGCAAAACGCCATCCAGTACAGAGATGTCGAGTATCTTCTAACAAAGCTACGAGTGGACTGACGTGACAGTTTTACAGCTCTGTTGACAACAGAGCACACCTGACCTACGCTGACGTGTGACGCTCGACTGCGGGCAACACTCAAGAGCCTTTAACTAGGTCACACGTTAATAGATAAAGGGTTGGGCTTTACCTGGAGGTTTCACTTTGTGTTTACACTGGTTGGTGGTTATTTATTCCAGTCAGCCTTGAACTCTGGTAGCTAGTTACTTGTACTGTACGCACATGTGTATTTGTGATGTAGCTCCCAATCTGTTGATATATGCGCTGGTTGATATATGTGTAGTTAGATATTGTTTATTCATAAAGTTGTCCTGGTGTATCAGATTAATGCAAGACTCGCCATTTTGTTACTTACAATAGTTAGAGCGATAGGAGCCAATGTCATGTGGAGTCTGTTTTGAGAAAAGGGATGAAAACCTTAACCATATGCATGCTAATGAAATTTTTTTTACTGATAAATTCCTAGATATTAACGCATTCTGACAACAGAGATATAAATGTGGTTATAAGAAGCATTCAAAATCGAATATAAACTTACGATTTTTAATTTGTGTAAGGGTGGAAAGGGCCAGTGTCTGTATTTTGGCCATTTTTGACCCTCAGGCATTTGCAGGGGATTTAACATGTGGGATTGATAAACTACTACTGAAAGTACAAACACATACTACTGAAGTATTTTTAAATGATATAAATTATTCCCAATTTGTTGAAATAATTGAAACATAATAATAAGGTGTCCAAACTTTCAAAATCTCTCTCAGACAACCAGTCTCAACCACACACGGAAATGAGAGCTATAGAATTTTAAGTAGCTATATTTCAAAAACGCACCAGTGAAAACATACAATATTCTTTCTACAGATAGACAATATCTCGTTGATGTTATTTATGCATTAATATGCAAAAAGGGCCAAAGTGCATTTTGGCCCCTTTTAGCTCTAAGCTCTTCATTTTTACAATAGATTACACATATGCTGTCACGTTAAGGCGCTTTTTTATCTGCAGAAATATCCCGATTGGTCCCAATTGCCCCATACTTGTCATCAGGGCAGATTACAGTGTTTATTTTGTTGTTGTCTAACGCCTCGCTTAGAAATATATCACGGCGCTCACGCCTCGCTTAGAAATATATCACTGCGCTCTGTGAATAATCGAGTTTTGCCCAGACGATCCCGTGATGTATTTTGTGAGCAACGATCCACATCCCCGCGTAACATGCGCAATCAAGCAAGTCACCAGGGAAATCTTTCTTAAATATTACAATGTATTAGAAACATTTACAGAATTATTCCAGACTCTGCAGTACTTATGAAACGTTTCAATTTGAACCCAATGTGTGATGTCAAAATACCCTTGGGTACAATAATTATTGTATATTTATATATAATATAGGTTCCCTAATTATAAGATGGCGGAGGCATCCGAGACACCTACGGTGAGAGGGCACACTGTTGCTGTCGGTGACCACAACAATATCACCGTGGTGCAGAACAACATCCCTCAACTGCCTCAGAGCCTCCCCCCTGGTACCCGTGTCCACGTCAGCTACGACATTGTCGTCGGCGCGGAATCTGGAGCAGCATCGTCCGCAGCAGAGGAACAAGAACAGTCCACTCCACACCAACAAGGAACAGGACACCAGGTGTGTGCTGACGATTTGTGTTTTAACGTGTTTAAATGTTTAATGTGTTCGTAGTGAGTGAGTGAGTGAGTTGGGTTTAACGCCGCTTTTAACAGTATTCCAGTTATATCACGGCGTGTCAGCTTAATGTGGGAGGAAAGCCCGAAGTGATGCAGGTCTTAGACGTTTACCACTTCGGTGAAACCCACGAGCACGAGCATGGTGCTGACAAACCTAGAAACATAATCGGGGTGAACAGGGATTCGAACCCACAATCATAGGTTTCTGGCGTGTCCAAGGGACGCAACTCTGCACATCGAATCGCGGCGCCTCAGTCTACTGGGCCACCCGTGCCCCCTAATTTGTTCGTAGTTCAAATATTGTTGTATATATATATTCAGAAACTGTCTTAAATAAGGGTGTCAGGATTAGCGTGGTTTGTAATGAATGGGTTTCACTGTATCTTTTTCGATTTCTCCCTAAAATAAATTTATGACATCAGATATCTTTTGTCCAGAGATCCAGTGCAGATCAACAAGCAGGACCTACTAGACCAGTAGGCCAAGGTCACCGGAACCAGACAGACAGAAAACGATTGACCAGACAGGCATCAGTGCCCAACACGGTTCAAGGTGATCCAGATATAGGCCAAGAGCAGCCAAGCTTTGTCCAGCCAGCCAATACCGATGGTCTGCCATATACGCTGTACCCTACAGGTGATCCTGGACCCGGACCCGCCGCCATGACCCCGGCAAGACAGCCTGCTTGCAGGACAGTCAGCACCCCCATCCAGGAGACCCATTCCCACGGACCCAACCCACCCGTCACCCGAGCCAACACATTTCCCAGTAAGTGACATCACATTCATATACCTCTACCGTATGCACGGTAGTGATGTAGTCTTGTTAAAGCGTTGGCTCGAGCCGCAAAAAATCCGAGTTGCGTTCATCCATTGGAACACTAATTACCCTAGCCAACGCGTTCCCCAGTAAGTGATATATAGCACTCTCACATGTGTCTCCTTTCATAACAGAGGGTGGAGGCATAGCCCAGTGTTTGAAGCGGTCGATTTGGCTTGTAATACACTGGTTCAGTTTCCACATAGCTTCACTGTAACATTCTGGGCGTGGCTTGGCGTGGTATTGCTCAAAATTAACTCAAATACTATTGATACGTCTGTTGCTCGATACTTGGAGTGGTGGAGAAACTGTTATTTCACAACGCAAAGATCCGGATTTCAAATATGTTCGTACCCCAGCAACGCCGATGTATTACGCCCCTCGTGTTCAATCATGCTGGTGTGTTTCTAGGTTGGTTGGTTTGTTGTTTAACGCCGCACTCAGCAATATTCCAGCTATATGACGGCGGTCTGTAATCAGTCTGGACCAGACAATCCAGTGATTAATATCATGAGCACCGATCCACGCAATTGGGATCGATGACATGCATCAACCAAGCCAGCGAGTCTGACTACCCGATCCCGTTAGGTGTTTCTAGGAGAAAGGCTTTACCGACTCTCATTCACAATAACTGTTCCTCGTGCCTTGCTATTGTAACCACACATCATTCACATTTAGCCAAAATGTCGTGACAGATTCATCGTAATGCATGTACGTAAGGTAAACCATTGTCGTAATTTCATACAGGTTAATTAACTTTGTCTCAATGGTAAAATGTTCCTTAAGATGTATTTCCTTAAAGAAGAGGAATCCGAAAAAATAGTTGTATGTTGAATTGACATACATTATGCATTTCAGAGCTAGACACAGACGTGAAGACTGCATACAACCGAGCAGATAGTATGGGCAGCCAACCTTACTCTCTGTCCCCACAAGACTGTCCACACCAAGGCAACACCCACGAACCCGTTCCCTGCCGTCCTCTGCCGAAACCAACCACGTCTCCGGCAACGTTGACGTCAATAAACACTAGAACTGCCCATGACGCTGCAACCCCCGAGCTGACTGACATCCTTGTGATGATCGTGCAGGACGTCCAGGTTGCTCTGGTCCTGGACATGGTGAACAAGAACATAAAGAGTGTGTCCCTTGCGGACAGCGCTGTGCGGACTCTGAACCTCAAAGGGACACCGATATCACTCGCTGCTTTGGATCAACAGAAAGTCATTGTAAGCTTCCTGGACATGAAGACTCTCAGTATCATCGATGTCAGCACGATGGTGGAGGTGAGGACTCTCCAGACTCCCAGGCTGTATTGTGGGGTCGCTGTGCTCGACAACGGGAGGATCGCTGCATGTTGCCAGGATAACCAGTCTGTTGAGATCATCAGCGTTCAAGGACAAGTGTTCGACACGTTCAGGCTTAGGTCAACTCAGCACCCGAGTGCGATAGCTGCATCATCTACAATAACAGTCTCCGACTGGCGGAGCAACACATTAGTTTGTCTGTCTCCACAGGGACAGGAACAGTCCAGTGTACGTCTGTGTGACAAGGGGAACTCGACACTGAGAGGTGTTGCTCATCATGGAAGTAGTACATTCGTAGCAGACGAAGGTGGAAACAGAGTCCTGAGGTTGGATTCCTGCGATATTTCTGTGAGTGTTGTGTTGAACAGTGGGGACACAGTAACCAGGCCGTGTGGGTTGTGCGTGAACAACAATGTGCTGTACATCGCACAGGGAGATGGGGTCATTAAGTATTGGGAAATTCCTTATGTTGCGGCTTTCAATACTCGAATGTAACACTCGAATGTAACACTCAATGGTTTCACGCCGCTTTTAGCAATTATACAGCAATATCACGGCAGGGGACACCAGAAATGGGCTTCACACATTGTACCGATGTCGGGAATCGAACCCGGGTCTTCGGCGTGACGAGCGAACGCTTTAACCACTAGGCTACCCGACCGCCCCGTTACACTTAAAACCTTGTATACCCGATACCCCACCATCCAGATGATGACGGTCAGGAAGAACCTATATGTTTCATAACCTTAGACGAGCCCGCTATTTTGACCCGGGGAATGCGGACTTCACGGCTTCAACACCAGCGTGTGAAAGAAAATAAATGGGACAGTTGTGGCACGGGGTCAGTGGTTCCTGTAGGATTTGCTTAATTAAACGACCCGTGAAGACCCGGGGTGGAATATATTGGTCTTCAGCAACCAATGCTTGTCGTAAAAGGCGACTATGCTTGTCATAAGAGGCGACTACCGGGATCGGGTGGTCAGGCTCACTGACTTGGTTGATGCATGTCATCGTATCCCAATTGCGTAGATCGATGCTCATCATGTCAATCACTTGATTGACTAGTCAAGACTCGATCATTTACAGACCGCTGCCATGTAGCTGGAATACTGCTGACTGCGGCGTTAAACAACAAACAAACAAAACGCTTAATTATAGGCGTTCTGATTTGGAATTCATCAAGTTTGAGAAGTTGTTATGATCAAGTTCCTGTGCTGTGTTTGTTTGGTTGTTTGTTGTTTAACGCTGCACTCAGCACTATCCCAGCTATATGGCGGCGGTCTGTTAATAATCGAGTCTGGACCAGAGAATCCAGTGATTTGTGCCTTGACTTCGGTGATGTCGGGATATTGTTTGCGCGGCCTTTCGAATGGAGGAGCGTTTTCTGATGGACTTTCAAATCCACTCCTACCAAATCCTTACGGTGGTGGTAGACGGATATGGCAATGAATATCAACCACAAATAGCTTTATAAACAACATGTTTCATGAATAAAGTTTTACAACCACTTTTTTAACATGTTTTATTTTACTTTCATTGTCGGTTGTTGCAATGAGGAAATTGCCTGTTCCGAGTCTGTTTGCCATCGAACACGTCCATTACAGTTTCAAAAACATTTGTATGCAGAAGATATGTCTTCGTAAAGTGTTGTAATCTTATCATCGAAGCCGGAAGGGTTACGGCCTAGAACATCATATCATAGGCAATACCATTCCTTGTCAAACTGACCCGTGAAGATTCCGGGGTAGAATAGGTCTTCAGCAACCCTTGCAATTGCTTGCCGTAAAAGGTGACTATGCTTGTCGTAACAGGCGACTACCGGGGTCGGGTGGTCAGACTTGCTGACTTGGTTGATGCATGTCATCGATCCCAATTGCGTGGATCGATGCTCATGATATCAATAACTGGATTGTCTGGTCCAGACTCGATTATTTACAGACCGCCGTCATATAGCTAGAATATTGCTGAGTGCGGCGTTAAACAACAAACAAACCAACCAAAGCCTTGTCAAACTACCGGATTTCCCCAAATAGACGCTAGGCCGTCCATTGATGTGGCGACATCCATTGACGCAACGTGTATTGGAGACCTGGCTTGTGTTAGAGAGACCCGTGATGATCCGAGGTAGAATAGGTCTTCAGCAACCCATCCTTGCCGTAAAAGGCGACTATGCTTGTCGTAAGAGGCGACTAACGGGGTCGGGTGGTCAGACTTGCTGACTTGGTTGATGCATGTCATCGATCCCAATTGCGTGGATCGATGCTCATGATATCAATAACTGGATTGTCTGGTCCAGACTCGATTATTTACAGACCGCCGTCATATAGCTAGAATATTGCTGAGTGCGGCGTTAAACAACAAACAAACCAACCAAAGCCTTGTCAAACTACCGGATTTCCCCAAATAGACGCTAGGCCGTCCATTGATGTGGCGACATCCATTGACGCAACGTGTATTGGAGACCTGGCTTGTGTTAGAGAGACCCGTGATGATCCGAGGTAGAATAGGTCTTCAGCAACCCATCCTTGCCGTAAAAGGCGACTATGCTTGTCGTAAGAGGCGACTAACGGGGTCGGGTGGTCAGACTTGCTGACTTGGTTGATGCATGTCATCGATCCCAATTGCGTGGATCGATGCTCATGATATCAATAACTGGATTGTCTGGTCCAGACTCGATTATTTACAGACCGCCGTCATATAGCTAGAATATTGCTGAGTGCGGCGTTAAACAACAAACAAACCAACCAAAGCCTTGTCAAACTACCGGATTTCCCCAAATAGACGCTAGGCCGTCCATTGATGTGGCGACATCCATTGACGCAACGTGTATTGGAGACCTGGCTTGTGTTAGAGAGACCCGTGATGATCCGAGGTAGAATAGGTCTTCAGCAACCCATCCTTGCCGTAAAAGGCGACTATGCTTGTCGTAAGAGGCGACTAACGGGGTCGGGTGGTCAGACTTGCTGACTTGGTTGATGCATGTCATCGATCCCAATTGCGTGGATCGATGCTCATGATATCAATAACTGGATTGTCTGGTCCAGACTCGATTATTTACAGACCGCCGTCATATAGCTAGAATATTGCTGAGTGCGGCGTTAAACAACAAACCAACCAACCAAAGCCTTGTCAAACTACCGGATTTCCCCAAATAGACGCTAGGCCGTCCATTGATGTGGCGACATCCATTGACGCAACGTCTATTGGAGACCTGGCTTGTATTAGAGAGACCCGTGATGATCCGAGGTAGAATAGGTCTTCAGCAACCCATCCTTGCCGTAAAAGGCGACTATGCTTGTCGTAAGAGGCGACTAACGGGATTGGGTGGTCAGGCTCGCTGACTTGGTTGATGCATGTCATCGATCCCAATTGCGTTGATCGATGCTCATGATATCAATAACTGGATTGTCTGGTCCAGACTCGATTATTTACAGACCGCCGTCATATAGCTAGAATATTGCTGAGTGCGGCGTTAAACAACAAACCAACCAACCAAAGCCTTGTCAAACTACCGGATTTCCCCAAATAGACGCTAGGCCGTCCATTGATGTGGCGACATCCATTGACGCAACGTGTATTGGAGACCTGGCTTGTATTAGAGAGACCCGTGATGATCCGAGGTAGAATAGGACTTCAGCAACCCATCCTTGCCGTAAAAGGCGACTATGCTTGTCGTAAGAGGCGACTGACGGGATTGGGTGGTCAGGCTCGCTGACTTGGTTGATGCATGTCATCGATCACAATTGCTGGCGATCGGTGCTCATGATATCAATCAATGGATTGTCTGATCCAGACTCGAATGTTTACAGTGCGGTCATATGGCTGGAATTTTTGGTGCGTGCGGCGTTAAAAAACCAACCAACCAACTAATTGCTTTGGCGACCGAACATGTAATAGAGGAAATATTAATACGTTTTACAGTGCCTATGGTTGATCGATAGGCAGCCATTTTTTATTAATCGATATGTAGGTTATCGATGCATTCGTCTAAGGTGCCGCGATTCGCTGTACAAAGTTCCGTCCCAGAAACCTATCATTGTGGGTTCGAATCCCAGTTCACCCCGATTATGTTTCTAGGTTTGTCAGCACGTGCACCGTACACGTGATCGTGGGTTTCACCGAAGTGGTAAACGTCTGAGACATGCATCACTTCAGGCTTTCCTCCAACAATAAGATGACACTCCGCGATATAACTGGAATACTGTTAAAATGGGCGTTAAACACAACTCACTCACTCAGGATGCACGGTAGGGCATTAATTGTTGATACACTTGTAGTCGATCAAGTTTTGCGAACACAATGCTATCATGGACCTTACATGTATGTATGAAAGCGTCCACTATTGGTCTTTGGATGATAGCGATTCTGTCAACAATTTGTTTGGCACTAAATTCAACACTAGTCCTGACCATGCTGTCTTGATGTTTATCGAGTAACAGACAGCGGTGAACAACATGATTTTAGCAAAACTCCAGATATACCACAGCAGGGGACATCACAAATGAGCTTCACGTTTTATATCAATGAAGGGAATCGAATCTGGAGTGACTGCGTGGATAACGAACGCTTTAACCACGAGGCTGCCCAACTGCCCCTTTGATTGCAGAGCAGACAGTATGCATGTCACCGCGAGAAGATATTTTGAAAGTACCGGTATCCACGTTAGGTTGTAGTTGATATATAACTTGGCTGCCCAACCAAGACAGAAATGGCTCTGGTAGACTTGTCACACGGAAGGGAAAATAATAGCCACTGTACTGCCTTCTCTGCTTTGTGTATACTTAAGCTATGTTTTTTGAAGATATAATGCCGACGATGTAAAAGCCTATATCGATATTTGATGACGTCAGCCATAAATCATTTATACCTTGAAATGAATGTGTGAGCTAGGATTGACGTCATCAAGATACAATGACAAGCGTTGGGTTCTTGGGACATGTTACTGCGATAAACCTATGTATAGATCAGTCACGTAGCGAAAAGGATTTATCTAAAACATCAATGGGTTTTTTTTCTTTCCTAAGATGTTCACATGTTTTTTTACTGGAGCACATGTTACAAATGAACAAGTATGGGTGTGGACAAGGCATATTGTTCAAACACGTTCAGTACTACCCTCGAACTATGCCAGTTGGTAACGCTGACAGAGAAAATTGTAGACAAGCCAGACAAAATAAAGCTTACCAATTCAGTCAGGGAAAGCAATATCTATCCCCAGCAAATTGTAGTGATGAAGAAAAACAGGTACTCACATACAAGCTGGAACATATTTTAGATCGAAAACACACTGAAGAGGTCGGCCATGCTTGATAGAACCCTGACAAGGGAGGGTAGAATAAAGCACTGACAGAATCCTGACAACGGAGGATAGACTGAAGCACTGAAAGAATCCTGACCAGAGAGGGTAGAGTGAAGCACTGAAAGAATCCTGACAAGGGAGGGTAGAATAAAGCACTGAAAGAATCCTGACCAGGGAGGGTAGACTGAAGCATTGAAGAATCCTGACAAGGGGGGGTAGAATAAGGCACTGAAGAATTCCTGACAAGGGAGGGTAGAATAAAGCCCTGAAAGAATCCTGACAAGGGAGGGTAGAATAAAGCCCTGAAAGAATCCTGACAAGGGAGGGTAGAATAAAGCACTGAAAGAATGCTGACAAAGGAGGGTAGAATAAAGCCCTGAAAGAATCCTGACAAGGGAGGGTAGAATAAAGCCCTGAAAGAATCCTGACCAGGGAGGGTAGAATAAAGCACTGAAAGAATGCTGACCAGGGAGGGTAGACTGAAGCACTGAAAGAATCCTGACAAGGGAGGGTAGAATAAAGCACTTAAAGAATCCTGACAAGGGAGGGTAGAATAAGGCACTGAAGAATTCCTGACAAGGGAGGGTAGAATAAAGCCCTGAAAGAATCCTGACAAGGGAGGGTAGAATAAAGCCCTGAAAGAATCCTGACAAGGGAGGGTAGAATAAAGCCCTGAAAGAATCCTGACCAGGGAGGGTA